CGAAAACTCGCTCACGTTAGCACTAAGTCTGTCGGGTTTTTCATTACACCGGTGCTTTTGCTTATACTTCCTACCTGCATATGTGCCCTAGCAAAGTTATCAGTAATAGGGGGCATACATAGTACCAGGACGCACAGAGCGAGAGGCAGACTATTCTATTTGGTCTTAACGACGACTAGACGTCTGGAATTTCCTAAGCCTGGTTAGCAACGCCGGTGCCAGTAGGTCCGGTAGTTGTACGAGGCTCACCCTTTGTATTGGGTGCTCTCTTGGTCGTTTTTGTAGTACCCGCAGGCATAACAGCATTCGGGTACCTTGCTCTTGTGTTTCCGGTCTTCGGCTTTCCCGCTTTCCTATCGCTTGTAGTTGCCTCATGGCCGACGCCCAAAACTCCTGACTGCTTGCGTCCGCTGTGATCTCGTCTTGGTGGAAGACTACTCTGTTCCTCTGAGTCCATATGCTAGTGAGGCAGATACTGCAAAGAATGCTCCAAATTCGCTTCCAGTCCGCTGTAAACTGTTTGGTCTCATCCGGAGACTTGCTGCTCAATTGCTGCTGCACGCATTGAGATAGCAGCGGTGCCTTGCGGCTGGCGCACTGCTGTTGGAAGCGCTCTACCTGCCCGGATGACCAGCATTCGCCCGTCCAGTGCTGAATTAATTTGCTCCAGCAGGCTTGCGCGCATGAACACTCCCAGAAGAGATGTTCCACCGTCTCTTTGTGTTCACGGCACTCCGGTGACTTTCGGCAGCTATTATCTTGCCGACATCCTTCGTGGTATAAGTTGAGTTGCCTAACTGCCACGCGATATACCACCCAGACCTGGTATTCTGTGAGCTGGTGTTTGTGTGCCCATACTTGCGTCGGTGTTTGTTGCATTGCTGCATTTTGCCAGACGCTGGTTGCCACAATGTTCTGAAGGCGTTGCACTTGCCTGTGGAGTTGTCCGTCATCTCCTCTGTACCGCCGGAACGGCTGCTTTTTCAACGCCACCAAAACGTGTTTGTTTGCCACGCTCTTCTTCACACATCAGGGGAAGCTGTGGACCCATGGGTGCGCGTAAAACACCAATCCTCCGGAGGCGCTGAGCTGGGCTAGTGCTTTCCTTGCGTTTGGCTGCTGAATCTCCCCCAGGTCTCCAGACGCTGATCTCCATGCTATCCCATTGGGCATTTGCTCTAACAGAATGCTGCTTCCTTGAGTTCCTTGACCCGTGATGCACGTTCCTCTCGCTCCCCCGTCTTGCGTGAGTTGCCAGGTGTAACCTGCTAACACTTCTGGCGGATGCCTCAAAGTCAGCTCGGGCCGGACGTGCAGTACCGCTCCAACTGCTAACGTCGGAGCGTTCAGCAGTATTGGTAGGCCCCATCTCCTCAACTTTGCCTGCTGATGTTCCACTGCTCCTTCGACTGGGATTGAGAAGGCGTAAGTCGTCTCCGCTGTACGCGTGATATGAAGTTCCTCGACTGTGCAGCTTTGAATCCTGTCGTATTTTTTATTGCTGAGTGTGTTTCCACTCTTGTCTAATATCCACGAGTTGGCGTTCCATTTGAATGCCGGCCAGAATGTTTCAACTACCGCCGTCAGCCCCCTCCACGGTGACTCCAATACCCTTGGTAGCTCGATGATCCATCTTCCTGCTACAGTCCAGCTAAGAGAGTCTACTTCCAGTTGCTCAAGATCCGTCTGGCACTTCAAGATGGAGTCTGCTGAAAGGTCATCAGGTGGTTGGAGCCAAGTAGTCATCAGCTGCTGCACTCTTTCCCCAGGCTGTCCTCTGACTCGTGTGGCTGCCTTAGCGTTCACGTTAGTCGGAGATATAACTTCACCCCACTCACTCGTTGATCCGCGAAAGACCCAAGCCTTCCATGCAGACCAGTAAGTGTCTTTGCGTTGCACGAGCCACAGTATGGTGTGTTTAACTCTCTGGGTCTGACATGCTATAGGAACTGATGCCAGCCCCATTCCTCCAGCCGGCTTTGGGGCATATACAAGTCCCGGATTTACCTTGCGCCGACTCGTATCTGTCGCTGTGCTATGTCTCCATAGGAACTGTTTTTGCAGGTTGAGAATCTGCTTCTCTGCCCATAGGGGCATCTCGAACGCTGCCGCAGTGAACAGCACGGACGGTAACATAATAACATTTAAGATCGTCACCCGATGCTCCACACTGGTCGCTAATCTCGTTGCCGTTGCCAGCCTTCGCTGAATGTTCCGAATGCGTGTGGCCCAATTCACATCCGTCAACGTTCCGGTGCCCACTTGATAGCCTAAATAACGGACCGTATCTCCATGTTTCAGGACCGGCAGGCCAAGGAACTGAGTCAACTCGACTGCCTTATTCAGGAAGATGAGCATGCTTTTGGCTGGCTGGACCTGTAGACCAGACAGTCTACCAAAGCGCTCCACAATCTGCATGGCTCGGGTGATCTGCTGAGCTCGCTGCAGAAATAGAGTAGAGTCATCTACAAAGGCCGAAAACAAGTGTCTTTGATCTTCTGCTCCCGGTACTTCAATGCCCTGCAATTCTGGGTCCTGCCGAATGGCTAAAGCCAGCACCTCTGCTGCGATGATGAAGAGCAGCGGCGCGACCGGGCACCCCTGCCTAATGCCCGATACCACTAATTGTGCTCTTGAGAGCTCTCCGCTGACGAGAAACCTCGCTGTTGTTCCGTCATGGAGCCGTCGCTGCAAGTTGACGAATTCTTTCGAAAAGCCAAATTTTTCAGCGCCAAAGAGAAATTCACGAGATACCGTGTCGTAGGCCTTCCTGAAATCTAGCTGAATAATGACTCTGCTGAGCAATGCTGCTAGGTCAGGTTCACCACGTGCTGTTGCGATCACCGCCAGCATCATCATGACCGTCTTCATCATTTGACGCCCCTGAATGAAACCCTGTTGAGAATCGCCAATTGGTCTCCCCAGAACCCTTTGCATCCGGGCCGCTAGCACCTTCATGAAGACTTTATAACCAGTCTGCAGTAAAGAAATAGGCCTATAGTCCATCGCATCTGTTAAATCTCCTTTTTTCCTCAACGGGATGATCAGTCCTTCAAGGAAAGACGGTGGCGGCTCTGCCCCTTTAAGCAACCCATTGCCTATTGCCACCATTGCTGGAACCAGCAGAGGTTGCGCGTCTTTGAAGAAATCGTTGTTGAGACCGTCCGGCCCCGCTGCCTTGTGTCTATTGAGGTCCGCAATGGCAGTCAATACTTCCTCCTGCATAGTTTCTGCCATCAAGACTTCATTCTGCTCCGGTGTCACGTGCCTGTCCTTTGGCACGAGCACAAACTGATCGAACTCACTTTCTAACTGCTCCAACGGTATTTGGCTGTGCACCCTTCCGAGAATGGGTTTCCATTCTGACCCGACCTTGTCTGCTATGTTCATGTGTCGGTCAAACTTCTCCCCGTGGACATGGCGGATATCAGTGATTGTTTGGTCCTTCTCCCAGTTGGATACCCTCTTGAAATTCCACCGGATTTGCTCAATCGTTCTCTCCAGCTTCTGACCTAGACGAATCTCGTGTTTTTCGCGCATGTCTTCTTCAGTTTGGTGGAGGAGATCCCGCCTTGTAAGCAGATGCGCTCGGTTTTGCGCATTCGCTCGATGCTTGGCTTTCTTCCTTCTTCTACGCTCCTGATGCTGAATTTTCTTGATGCTGTGTACACATTCTACAGCTGTGCGGTCCCAAGTCCTGCTCGTTACTCCATTTCCCACCCCTCTTTCTATCGGTTCGGCCATTAGCTCTGCTTGTACCCGCGCTGGGCGGGAGGACCGAATGGGGTATGAACTTAGACGGTTCGTGAGTTGTCGTTGGTGCTGCTGGCGTTGATTCCGTAGGTGAAGGCAGACACACTGGTGATCGGAGGGCGCTGCTGGTTCCTTAACTTCCACCCAGTGCACCTTGTTCGTCCAGTCGGTTGGAACGTAGAAACGGTAGATCCTACTCGCACATTCTGCTCCCCAATACGTACAGAATTCCGTGGGATCGATATATTCTTCGTCTTCATTTACCGCTCCTTCTAACGTCACAGCATCTTCCAGGTCGAGGTGGCGCACGAGTTCCCGTAGCGCTGGACTTTCGGGTTTCGTACCTTGCTGTTCACCCCTCCTGTCCAGTGGCGGACTCTGCACGCAATTAAAATCGCCGGCCAACACTATTTCACATCTGGGCCATTGCCATTGCCTGAGTTGTTTCCAGAATGCTTCTCGCTCCACCGGTACATTGGGAGCGTAGACATTTACTACGAGTTGCCCTCCGATTCGGACAGCTATTCCCCGATTAGTCCAGTGGCCTACGCTCCATGCTTTGGCCTCCTTGGAGTGATCCGGGTTGAGTAATATCGCCACCCCTCCTACCTTGGAGCTGTGCACACTCCAATATGATAAGCGAGGGCCGTCTTTCTCGTTTTGCTTCCCCCAAAGCTGCTTCCATGCTTCCTCCAGTGTGCTCGCTTCATCCTCTGAGCTGATTTGCGTCTCCTGAAGTAACCAAGCCACCGGCCGTTCCCTCACCGGTATTCTACGCCACGCTCGTAACCAGCCGAACTGGTTTTCCTGTTTAAACCCCCTCACATTCTGTGTCAGGAATCTTGACGACTCCACCTTGCCTTTCCTCTTCCTTCCTACGCCTGCTTTCTCCTCGCGTAGGGCAATCAGACGCCCGTAGACGTCTCCAGCAGCTCCGCTTTCTGGATTGTGTTGTCGCGGCAGCTGCTGCATCTCTTCACCCTTAATAAGGGTGATCGCGCTCATCCACCCTCTTCTCCAGGGCCGTGGAAAAGTAGCGCGCGAGAGCTGACCAATCCACCGATGTTGTTTCTGTTGAGTACGCCTTCCGGAAGTCGTCTACTTCTTGTAAAGCTATGAGGTGACGCTTCAAACGTGTGAGTGCTCCATTCTCATTTTCATTTTCCCGACCCGTAATTGCTCGAATCTCCTTCTCGTAAATCAATGCACAAAGTAGATGTTGAGCAAGCCGCCTCTTGTTCCCCACGTCACATAACTTAAGGACTTCATCTTTTCCGTAGCCTCTACTCCGGAGTTTCACCCAATCGTCGCTACTATCCACCAGAGTAGCTAAATTATTTGGCGGCGCTCTGGCAAACCGCGCCTTCCAGTCATCTAGCCATCTAAGAGTGCCCCGATCATCCGAGCGACTACGATACGCGATGAGGCTGGCTTGCACGCAGTCTCGTCTCCATTGGGAAGTCCATTCCATGAGCGTCTTGTCACTAAGGGAGGCCATAAGTTCTTCCGGGAATGCAAAGCGTTGGATCATGTGGAGAAGCATTGTAGGTTCCGCTCTTGCCGTCAAGATCCATTCTTCTTCAGTGCTCTGTTCAAGTGGGAACGGAGCGCTCGCTGTCGATGGCTATATCGATTGCATTTGTTGCCATTGTTCTGGCCAAGCCTCTCGGACAGGCTTGGTTGGAAGCGTGGGCACCATGGCCTGGTCTGCTTGCTTCGGAGCTTCCTGCAACTGCTGATTAGTGTGATCTCGTTTGGCCTTCACTCCTTGTCGTACAGCTTCGCACTCCATTGGCGTTAGCGTTTGTGCTCGTTTGGTGGGCGCTTTCGGAGGGGGTTGCTTGGTTCGCCGGGGTGTTACTGTTGGCTGCGAGCTGTCCTGGCTACTCCTGGACGATGGTTCGTATAGCGATGCGGTCTCTTCCTCCGCTGCACCTTCGCTGATCATATCGCGCTGAACCACTCTCGTATGCGCCGATTGAACTGTTGATTTCCACTGCTGTAAGATAACTTTGGAGATTTGATACTTCTGCAAGAGCTGCCTAATTTCAGGGTCGTTCTCCTTTGTTAGATCCAACCGGACCAACGCGTGTCGTTCTGCATACGTGAGTTGCGAAGCTGTATTAACCAGGAAGGCTAATAGTTCGTCCAACCGGGTCGGTTCCGCCTGCTGGAGAATGACGTGTATTTCACATTTCAAGTCATGCGGAATTGATAAGCCGGAGAGCCGTCTCTTGAGTTCATCTAAGTCTCCATCCCAGGCCGTCGGATCCCACGGATCATCATTATTCATTTGAGCTTGATCGGAGCTCGCTACTTCGCGTGGTTCCGAGTCCATGTCCACGTCTGCATCCCTTGCCAGCGGCCCTACACGTTTTTCCTCGTATGGCGTGTTTACTGTTGCGACGGGGATTTGGAAAGCCGCTGAATGTACGAAGCCGAGTAGTGGCGGCCCCAGAAGCGAAGAACTAGCGGCCCAGTCTGTGGGTCGTCAAGTTTGGCTTGATAGATTCTCTGAAGACATTCCTGTAGCTGAAGCGGGACCTGTTGACCAGTTTCGAAAAAATTTCTGCCCCGTGTCATACTACTCGGTCGATACTCCGAGCAGTGCCATTGTTTTTTTTCATCAGTGTCAAAAGCTAAGACGAAGATGCGTCTACGGAGAAAATTCGCTGCAGTGGCCATCCATTCACTGGAACCCCAGTTGTATCTTGAATCTTGGAGGAGGAGGCCGCATACTCTTGCAGATACCATCTAAACTGTTTGCTCGATTCCTTCGGACCCATTCCTTCCCATCCCCTCCCCATATTCACTAAGGTGGTGGTCCGGGTGAAATGATCAAATTGCTCCATACAGTTGAGCTGGCCTGCCCAACAGATTCCCCGTTTGATCGCCGCTGTTAACTGTTCCATCGTTGCAGGTTTGGCTGCCAAATTTTGGTCTGCCAGTGCCTGCGAAATCGCCATCGCCATACAATTTCCGGACGCTGGGGTAGAGACTTCTTTCATGCCTAGACTGCTCTCAATCTGTTCGAACGTCGCAGCTTCTTCCAGTGAGTCAGGATGAAGTGGCAAGCTACTCCCATGACTGTCTCGCAATTCTTGGAGGATATTGCCTATAACTCCATGTTGACGCTGCTTTAATGCGATGAGTTGGAACGTTTCCGGCAGCTTGGGCAACTGCGTCTTCACTAGGTGCAATTTGGCCTTCGCAGCCGCTGTGATGACTGGTTTCGGTTTTAGCCCCTGCTCACTACCTGAAGATAACTCCACGACGTCTCGAGCTGGAGGATGTTCCTCCGATTTTTCTTCCTCTGCCGGATCCTCGTCATCCGCATCAAACAGCTCCGAGTAATGCGTTGTCACCTTGATTCCTTTTCGCTGTAATGCTGCTGGGTGAGCATATAGAGTCCTGCCGCGAGCAAGTGACACTTTCGTCCACTGGGTACCCGTTGTCCGTGCTGCTCGGGCGCTTTGCGGAGGGGCAAACGACGCATTAGGCTGACTGTGTTGGCCGACGTCGGCCGCTACTTTGGTCTGCTCTGTCGTCCTGAGCTTCTGCTTAGGTGGCGCTACTGGCTCGAGGGCAGCTTCTTCCTGTCGATACGCTTCCTCCTTGACCTTCAGTCTCGCCTCCATACTTCGCTTCATATCTGCTGGGCTGGTGAACGACTTGGCCAAGCTGTCGAGACTCGCGACTTGTTGGTCGTCTGCTACCCGACTGCCGACACCTTTAAGCGCCTCATCAGACATCTGGCAGCGAGCCATGAGATGTCCGAGGTTACCGCAACGGAAACACTGTAGCTGTTTCTTCGCGTAACTATGCTTCAAGATGAGCATCCTTCCTAACCAAATGATCCTGACAATTCCTCTCAGATATTCCGGGCATTCCGCCGACTTCATTCGCAAGGTCCACGCCGTGGTTCGCATGGAATTCGGCGTAAACGAGTCCATGTTCACCAATTCAAACGGCACTGCCAGATGCTTGGTCAGGAACGCTGTGAGGCGACCAATGTCAGTGAACCGCGTTAGGTTGTGGATCTCCACTTCGTACTCGCGCTGTGTAGTCCTGCGTACTCCATCGCTGTTCAACTGCCTGTCCCATACTGATCCGGTGTCCGGACGATGGACATTTCCTAGAGAGTACATTACGCCTCGGAAGGGCACCTGCAGTCCCTGGAACTTCGCCGCAGTGGCTCTGTCGAAGAAGAAAATGTGGATGCTGCGTTTGATGTCGTTGTACGCGATGGTCTTCGCCAGGTTGAGCATGTGTAGCAATTCGTGGACGTTAATCCTCGCTTTCGCCGCGTCCAGCAGTATCTCCTTCTTGATCAGTCGAGTCTGCTGTCTGCTGTGTTTCACTCGTGCTCTGCCGCGCAATTGCATTACTAGTTCACCCTCCACCTGTTGCTGGATGGTGGTGTGCAGACGCAGCCTTTCCTGGGAATCGAATACGCTGCTGAGGAAATCCGGCATGCGACGACATGCGATGGTTCCTTCGGCTATGCCCACAATGACCGTCCACTCGTCTGCCGTTGCCTCTCTCAGGTGTTTATCGCCTTGGGTTGCGTGAACCTGTTCACAAATCGCCCTGAACTTGACGATATCAGGTTTGGAGAAGCAGGCTGGATTGAACATGAAGGTGTCGTAATGACCACTAGAGGCGCCGGCCTCCGACCCACTTGCTCGATTGGAGGCGTCTGCTGTCATCCCTGATTTCACTTTTTCCGCCCACTGATTGAGCGGTGGAGTTCGAGCCCAACGGGCCTTGCTAATCCTGCTGTACATTATGTTTTTAAATGTCCAGCGGGTGTTGAGCAAGTCTTGGGTCACTGACGTGATACACTGTTTCCAGGCTGCGTACGTTCCATTCCCAATCACATTCATCTCTCGGAACAAGTTGTATAGCAGTGCCTTTTCATCTCCTCGCAACTTGGGGTATCGCTGCTTGTTGGGGGGCACAATGTCTTCCTCAATGCTGACCGATCTATGGATGATCGCATAGAGCTCGGCGATCGTGGTGACCCACTCATCTCGCGGTTGTTCACCAGAGCTCCGCTTGATAATCGTCACTACGGCAATGAACATCTCCTCCGGTTCCACCGTTATAACTTCGTCCAGGATAGGCGTAGTGTCTTCCGTCCTTCCGTCACCCGAATTAGCCTCGGTCTCCTCTCCCCGCATTGGCGTGGTCCCTGGCACCGATGTGATTCCGGTCATCGGCTCTTGTTGCTGCTGGATGTCTCCGGTGACGCTGGGTCGTTGACTCTGTCGAGCCCCTGCCCCGTGTTCCGAGCCGCGTTCGTTGTTGTTAGTCCCGTTGTCTCCTTCCGTTGTCCCCTCGCCTACCTGGTCCGGCATGGCTTCATCATCCTCCTGCGACTGCTGCGTCTCCGGGACAATGGAGTCTTGCGACCATATGGTCTCCGACTCTTCCATTGCACCCTTTGGATCTTCGAATTTTTCTTGTTGTTTTTGCTGTTTTCCCTCCCTCCCTCGCCGGTCTGCTCCTCCGCTCACCTCTGCCTTGCCGATAGCCGTTCGCTCTGCCCCCTTTCCTGGCGAACCTTTAGCAGCCGTGTCGCCTCGACCCCTGTCAGGGGGTGGAGGCTTCGGCGGCTTCATCCCGCTCAAACGCTTGCTCGAAGTTTGTACCAAGCCTGCACGAATTTATACTCCGCCACGGGTCGCTAATGTACCCACTGCACCGCAGATTGGAGAGTGTCGCACATGTAATCAGCCAGAGTACCAGGATTTGGCTAATGCGACCATGATTTGATGACGCCTAAATGAATAGTACCAGGATTGGGCAATTTCTCTATTTGACCTGCAGTCGTTTAAAGCCACACTGAGCCTGAGGGTCGCTCTTAACCGGGATCGCGACCTGTCGGATCGTGAGCACTGTCTGAGATTGCGATCGTGTCGTTTTTAACCGAATCGCGACCTGCCTACACTTATGCAAAATGAGCGACACAACACTTTATCTTAAATGCTTAATATAAATTGGTGCGAGTGCTGCATGCGCATCATTAGAAGCGTAAAAATAAACTAATCTGCGGAGAATATTGCATATGCGCTCTAGATTCCTCCTTGTGATCCGGCGATACCTTCGGGTTATCCAATCGGAAATACGTGGGTATGGAATAGCGACCGCTCGAAAAAAATGGCTTTGAGAATCAGAATCAGATGTAGATCTGATTCTCTGATGGATGGAAGCTAGTGTTGCATACACAAGATGAAGGGATGAAAGGTCGCAATGGAGAGATCTTCCAGTAGCTATGACACGAATGCTCCGTTTCTTGTTGCTGTTGCTGTTCCCGCTCATCACCAGTACAAAACCCACTGAAATCGACGTGAATGGCGTTGCAATCGACGATTACCTAGCAGCGAACGGCAGTCTCGACGCTGTCGAGGTCTTGATCCAAGAAGAGGCTCAGGTGGTCAACACGTTGGTTGAGCTAGACAAGCAACTCGATGAAGCTCTGGATCATTTATCCAGCGGTAGTGGAGCTCTCGAGGTCGACATCGTTATTGGGCAACTGGATGGTACCAAAAGTGGCTCGAAGCTTTGGATCGCTGATGAGATCATTGTGGAGATCCCGAATACTAGACTTTCAGAGGAGAAAAAAGACGAAATCAAGGAGCAAATCGAGAGCAACGTGGCTGATACGTTGGATGCAATGGTTATCGACGAGATGGCGCCTCCGAAGATGGAGAAAGGTATTGGAGACAAGGTCGAAAGGTTGTTCGAAGAGGAAGCAGAGGTGGAGAAGGAGCTGGAAGAAATGAAACTGGAGCTGGACAAGGCGCTAGACGAGCTGCCGAATGAAGGATCATTGGCAGAAATTGACATCGTGGTGAGTTTGATCGACGGTGAGGATGAGATCGTGGAGGATGAGATCATTGCAATAATCCCAGCGTCAACAGGTAGTGGGCCAATACTTTCAGAAGAGAAGAAGGAGCAATTGGAAGAGGAAATCGTCATGGAAGCTGCAGCTGCGATGGGAGCGATCATCTTGGACGACTTTATAGACGACCAAGTGCCTGAAAATGCAGAGTCACAGCCACCAGACGCTCCTTTGCTTGAACGAGAATCTGCTCGTGAGAAATCTGCTCAAGCCGCATGGGGTGCCAAGGCTGCTCTTCGTGGAGCGGCTACAACCACAACCCACACAGGCTTCGAGCATCCGATGTTCGTGCCTCATCACTGGCAAACGAACGACGATCAGCTGTGGACTATGAAGCTGTCTATGCTCACGTCAATGTCGTGTTTGACACTGCTGCTCATCGTTGGCGTGTGGACGGGAGTTCGTCGCTCGCGCCGCCCCGCCGTCCTGGACGACAGCCACTTCCGCTGGGCCGAGGCCGTCGAGTACATGGATGCCTTCCCGTACGACCAATAAGAGTGCTGGTCAATATCAGAATGTTGTTAAGTCAGTTGAAGTTTCCAGGAGTGATGATCACTTTGGCAACACTTAAAAATAGTTGGCATGTATTTGCCAATACACATGCAACTTCCTTGTTTGCTGCATCATGGGCAGCCGTCGCGTGGTTCCTCTGTCGGTGGACGCGTCTTCCTCTTCTCGCTCGCACCCTCCGCCTCCTAAGAGCCCTGCACATCGTCCACCAACTGGTCATGGCTCTCTCGACCTCGTACGACCTCCCACAGGAGGCTCTGTGGGCTATCAGGGCTTTGATCGCCTCATGATGATGCGTCACGTCAACGCTGCAGCCCCCCAGCAAGTCCAAAGTGGCGGAGACGAAGCTTCGGCTGCTGTGAACCACCGTCAACGAATGGCAGCCGAGCAACAGCGCCGTATAGAGCTGTCTCTGATGGCTAAAGAGGACTATACAGGTACACCAGAAGGACAGGCGAGACTGCAGCGTCAAGACGAGAGATCTCGTATGCGAGAAGAGGAACTGCTAGTCATCAGACTGGTGGAAGCAGAGAAAGAGGCTGCGAGGAAGTTGCAACGCGAGAGGGAGCTGGAAGAGGAGAAACGGATAAAGGAGCAGTATCTGGCCAAGATCCGAGCGCAACGGGAGCAACAGGAGATGGAAGCGAGAGAGAAAGAAGAGAAGAGAAAACGAGAAATGGAGCGCAAGATGAAAGCACTTAAGGACACAGCAGATGCCAAAGCACGAGCGGAGTTCGCTGAGAAGCAACATGCGCTCCAAGAGGAGGCCCGACTCGCTCGTGAGAAGCACCAGACGGAGCTTGAGATCGTTCAAATGCAGGTGGAAGACGTAATGGGCCACGCCATGCAGCAACAAGCTATTGCGGAACGAGAACGACAGCGACAGATCGCAGCGGAGCAGGAGGAATGGCGTTTGTTCCAAGAACGCGAGCAAGAGACACAACGCGAGGCGACTCAGCTGCGACGAGCTGCTATGGCGCAGCAGTACGAGCAGGACAAGCAGCGACGTATTCAGATTCATAAATTGCAAAAGGAGCGAGCAGCGCAGATAGCTGAGCGTCAGGAGATGCAAAATAGACCTGTGCAAAAGGAGGAGACCAAGTCGGAAGGAGGAGACGACGCTAACCTCACAACGCAGGACAGTACAGACGTGCCTATATCTGTAGGATCAAACGGTGTCCACGGGGAGTGTACTAGTGTGGAGGACGCACCGGAGGACGACAAACCGGGTGTGGCAAGTGAGTTTGAGGGAAATAACGGAGATACATTCGTCAGCAATGATGATATAAGTCAGATAAGCGTAGCGGAAGATAGCACACCTCAAGTGGAATCAGGGAAGCAAGAGGGTCGAGATTCATCTGCAAAAAAGGAGATATCACAAGAAACGGTTCCTGTCGCAGCGGTGGAGGAAAATGAACCGGTAAGTCCTATCCCTGATAAAGGTTGCACCATTGAAGAGGCAGCTGAAGCTACGAATCCCAAAGCGGAGATTGCCTTAGAAAGAAATGACCCTACAATTGAAACGCGTGCCAATGAGCCTGTACCAGAGGACCAGATGGATGACCGACCGATTTGGAGCACTTCCACCGCCCAAGCGAAAGGTTTTGTACCGTTTGCGCAGGTGTTAAGCGTCACAGACCACTCGCCAGCGATGCAAGCAACGTTAAAGAGTGGCGATCTTTTGGTTGATTTCGGAGGGATTGTGAGTAGCACACCAAAGTGTTTAATGGCCATGGCAGAGTGTGTGCAGAAGAACGTGAACACTCGGATTCCCGTCGTTCTTTTACGCTCTCTCGAGACTCCAGAAGAGCATTTTGAGGAGATTCAAGTGTCATTATGTCCTCGAAAGTGGGAAGGCAAAGGATTACTCGGCTGTCAGCTCAGTCCTTTCAAGTGGCCTGAAAATCCAATCGAACCAGTAAAATCTGAACTCGAAAGCCCCATAATATCGCCGGTAGATTCGTCCAGTAGTGAGGGTGCAAACGCTCTGGTTGTATACGACATTGTACCTGCATCTGTTGCAGACCAGGCAGGTCTTCTGAATGGCGATAGTTTATCCGGATGTGAAGGTTTGGAAAAATCTGTGAGTGTGGAGAATCTGAAAGACGTTGTGGGTCATATCCAAGCTAAATGCGCGGCTTTTTTACCTGTCAAAATTGATTTAAATCGGTGGAATGAGGAAGATCAATGTTATCGATCGCTTCGTATTGAGTTACCGTCTTCTGACGGCTCTCTTGGATTCTCTCTGACGTCATTTGCCGAATATTACAATTACTATTCCAGCACTGTGGCTGCTGTATCTGCATGTGAAGAATGTTACTACACGACGCTGACGACAGCCTTACACGCAGCAGCTCTCAGTGGGCACGTCAGTTGCTTGGAAGCTCTTTTAAACTCGCTCCAAAACGGAGATGGAGGCGGATATTCCGCCAGCGAATACTTAGATTGGAGAGATGAAGATGGCCGAACGCCACTCTTCTACGCTTGTTATACCGGACAGCTTGAGTGTGTGAAATACCTGTTAAATTTTGTCGTTAACGCTGGAGTCGACTTGTACGGAGATACAGTACTTCATGCTGCCACAACGAGTGGGCATACGGCTGGAATCGCGCTCTTACTGGAGAGTGGATGTGTTAAAGTAGACGATAGAAACCATACGAGGCTGACTTGCGCTCACATAGCGCCCAACGTCGACACACTGGCGTTTCTGGGCGAACAGTGTGAAGCTGACTTGTTGGCTACGGATACTGAAGAAAGGATGCCCCTGGCTTATGCGTGTCTTCGTAATGACGTTGAGAGTATCCACTATTTATGCAGTAAGCACCCGGATTTTGTGGATTATGCGGATATCCATGGTAATACGCCACTGCATGTAGCAGCGTGGTTGGGGCTTCAAGAGGCGGTTGAAGAGCTTATCACGTACTTACCGTCTATCGCATTATATATCACGAACGAGGATGGACAGAATGCTGCAGAGCTGGCTCGCTCGAATGGGAAGGAAGATGTCGCTGCTCTCCTGGATAATGTCATGGCTGCTGCAGAGACCCAAACGAACCGAAATCTCGAGGTCTGGGCCGCCGCGCTAAAAGGTTCCTGAGACGCTCCGTTTAGAACTAACAAAAAGAGTAAGTTGGAAATTGCTAGCGGTAAAATAGTAAGGGTTTTAACTGCTTTCCATCCAGCACACCGTCGTAACGGCAGCTAGAAGAGCTGTAAGGGCAGCCTCACGCGAATTATTCGCTCCAAAAATCTACTTTCTGCACAAGCAACTTCCAGACAATATCACCCACGCAATCCCTACATCAATACAATGTTCTGGCATTCGATACCTCACAAATTCCTTACTAATAAGTACTGCAGAAAAGAAGCTGCTAATTAAAGCCAGCTATACGTGCGAAATAGATAAGCAGAATGCAACACCGGCAAGCAACAACCTCCAGACGTAATCGATTCAATTTAAGCTGCGAGGCCAATCGGGTAGAAACGATAAAATCATTCAGAGGAGCTATGCTCCAGGGTTTTGCGCAGTCTTGATCAAATCATCGTACGTTATGGTAAATGTTTACCGTCAGTGACCAATTCGACCAGATAAATTCTGATATATATATTTATTTAAAATTAAGCTTCGGGAGTCACCTCCTTAAGGGCCTGTTCGCGTTGTGCCTAGAGATGGAGATGATTGTGGTGTCCTACGATCTCCACCTCCAGTTGTGTCGCTACGTATCCTTCTCCAGGTGCACTTTAAACCAATCAGGTGCCGATACCATGTGTGGACACGGCACTCACAACCTAGAATCGAGAAGTCACATCCTCATCTTCACGCTCTCCTGCAGAACAAAATATGATGCAGTTAAGGTCTGAAGACGCCACTCAACCAGAGGACGACGCAGCTATCATACCGGTACACACTCGTACCAGCAGTGGTCAGAGCGCACCACGCCGCAGGAATCAAGGCAGGAACGAGACAAAGCACCCATTTGCGTGGACAGTAAATGCGGCTGAGGTGCTGCTGAGATTGCGATTCGATAGCCTGAAGGGGTTGTTTGATGGCACGAAGAACTTGAAGCAGTTGAGTGCTGCGTGGGATTACCTAGCTGCAGAGACTCACCGTATTGGTGGCCTCGAGGTTGATGCTACCCAGTGCAAGTCAAAGGTACATGTACTGTGTATGAGTCTAGCGTTACATTATACGTACAGCAGTTATAAGCAGTACAGTCGCTTGTCCTACTGCAGCACACACAGCTAGCAAAACGTTTTTAATGTCCTCCTCCATAACAAATTGTGAGCCTCTCGTCTCTACCTCCGTCTCCTGTCTCCACCTCCAATAGGTGGAGAAGGATATCACCTCTAATCTCCAGTTGTGCAGTTGTAACAAATGGTTTTTGGCCAATCAATTGTTAGACGTATTTAGTGAGATGGGACCATCTCCATCTCCAGGCACAACGCGAACACGCCCTAAGCAGGGATACGCGTTCTTGAAGGTTCCTGAGTAGAGCCTTAAAGTCATTAACCGATTCAGTGAGGATTCATTACTGAGGTTCCTGTGACGTTCCATATCCCGGCAACAGTCAACGTGTATTGAGCTGCTGAAAAACAAAATGTGAACTAGCTAAGCCTAACACTCAACTCTGTGTTGCTCTCTCCTACCAGTCCATGGCAGTCCAGGGCTAAGCCCAGCACCACAGCTCCACAATAACATCGTGCACATTTGTACAGGTACTCCACTTTAATTATTCCATAAAAACTAGCTTTCGAGCCTTAGCACACCGGTCCGGTGCAGCTCACAATGAGAATAGAGGACGATATTTTAGTGAAGAAGACAATTTTATCTTGACCCTCCAGTTGTAGATGTAATCCGAGAAATATAAGCGCAGCTAAATACCCAACAAATTTGCGAGGCAAAAAAATAGTTGCACTGTATTAGGACGAAACACTTTACTGCTTGACGCTACACTACTCGTCGTACAAGTTTGCCTTCCCCAATCGCTGTTGTATGCTCCTTTTCATCGAGTCCCCAAAGGAAACAGTGCTCTCTTGTAATTCTTGCAGCGGATCAACCGAGAGATTTCGTTCCCCACCGGAGATCTTGAAGCAAACCCATCGAGTAGCTACAACGAGAAGTTCTTCATCATCCGAATCTTTCACTTTCTCCTGGAGCGAACGAATCATAAAGACAGAAGTCGCGTCTCGTCGAGCTCTTTCCTCTGCTTTGTAAGGGTAAAGTTCATCCGAATCGACAAAGTCTGTCACAATTACCCCACAGTTCTCGTCTTGGCCATCCTTTGCCTCCACAAACTCCGCAAACATGACTGAGTTCGACTCCACTTCGTTTCCCAACGTAGTTGACGTCACCAAACGCATCTGCGAGATATCTCGATTGTCTGCCTCGTTGTTTTCTCGGATAGTGATACCACCGAGCAACTCGGAGATGATGATTTCAGCGTTCTGCGAGACGTCAATGAATGCATCGAAACCTCCCTAGCACTGGGTAGCACTGGCTCCCTTGACAATCATGTTTTCAAAAACTACCTGGCAGACGTTGTCACCATGGTTCCGCTCTTCTTGGGTGTACGAAGACCTTGGATTCAACCCTTGGCTACGCGTCATAATGAACCGTTTCGCCTCTTGCAACTTTTTGTCTTTGAGTGCCATGAGCACGTTGTGGCGCTCAGTGGGATCTGTTCCCAGCCGAATTATAGTCTGCGCTGGTGCAATGAGTCGACATTTTGTTGCTGAGAGGACGTTAGCGATATCCCACCTCATCAACGGTACAGATAGTTATCTTACCAGTGTCCGGCAAGCATTGCCTGCATTTTTGCGAGCTCTAAGTGTTGTTGCTGGATGAATTCTTGAAGAACTGTATTTCCCGCTGCCACTTGCTTGTTGGACTTGGCAGCTTCTCCCTGCTCCACCAATACTCGATACTTGAGCTCGTCAAGCTGTTTACCTAGCTCGCCGGCTAGTGCCGTGAGCTCCACCTTCTGCTCGCGCCGCACATCGTACGTCGTTCTACGCTTCTTTTCTGAGTTAGAAGCTGCGTGATTGCTTCGCTTGCGACCGGTTTCTTCTGCATTTCGAACATCTGAATCGTATTGTAGCCAAACTAGGTAGCTCTTGCCCAAAAGCATAGCAGCGTCATCCCCGGATGACTGAAAACTAGTTTCCCAAAGCGAGGAATCAGCCGAGGGTAGTGGAGGCATCAGTTTGCTGCAATTCAATATTGACGTTACCTGAGTCACTGGAGGGATAAGGCACGCGAACAGACGACATGACTAACAGTAAACAGATCTGGGTTGAAGATCTTGAGAGAGATTGCCAATCTGACTATAATACAGGAAAGTGGCTACGTGCACAGTAAATAAAGGGCAGAAAATCACAGTAATAAAAAGGAAGCTATCACGCATCCCCTAAGCGCACCAACTGGAGGCAGCGACAATCATTCTGCGGAATGAGCGGCCGATAAATTTCCCCCTCAATCGCGAAAAGAGCCCCCGTGCCAACGCCTGTACTGCATCAATCTTCGCGATGCCCCAGCGCGAAGCTCCCAGGACGCACGAGAGGTCCCGCGCCGCTATTACCGGAAGCGAAAGTGAGAGCGAGGCCTCCTACGAGAAGACGCCGCGGCGAAAGCGAGGAAAAGCACGGAGTGCTCGCTCAAAGGCGAAGAGGAGGAGGCGATATGTCTCAAGCAGGGACCGCGCACTGTCTTCAGACGATTCTTCAGATTCGGAGCAGCCCAGCCAACGTCGCGATGCAACTCGGAGTCAAGCGGATGTCGATCCAGTCGAGGACGCGTACAAGGACAACAACTCAAGCAGCGGGAGAGATTCCGACGAAGATTGCGGAGGAGTAACAGCACGTGATGAGTTGGTTTCGGTCCCCCCGCTCGATAGGCGATCGTTTGACACTTGGGAGTTACTGGAAGCTTATATCAAGGCCTACAGCAAGCGCACCTACCAGGTTGGGCACCCGTTTTAGACTTCTTTCCAACTTCAAACTGTGCACAATTTCTTATTGTGCTGTACATATCATTTTGTGCATGCAGGTATATTCTGTGCGAACTGCAACTCCTGCAAGTACACGCAACGCCAAAATCAAAGAATCCAACTCGTATTGTGATGAAATTCCTGCCGAACTGAAGTTCTACAATAAAACGTACGTGTGTACGCATTCGGGGTCACCGAGGACGGGGAGAAGTCGTCGCGGCGGGCGTCCTAACCAATATTCAAGGCGCATTGGATGCAAAGCTCAGGTTTAATTATCTAGACATGCTGCATGGAGAGCTCACTTTAACAATACTTGCTAATATTTGTATACTGCAGATTAATGCTTGTGTTCGTCTGTCTGGTGACTGGGTAGTCTGTATCACCAAACAGGTAACGACCCACAATCACGACGTTGATTTAGTCGCTTACCAGACATACCACGAAGCGAGGCGAGTTTCAGACGACGAAGTCGTGGATGGCGTGCGCGTGCTTCATCGTGGAGGAGCTAACCGGAAACGTATCCTTGAATACATCGTCGAGAATGCTTCGGTGCAGCCAGAGATGAAGGACGTACACAACCTTCTGGCTAGGCTCAAGCGGGAAAGCTACGATTTTCCGACCATGGAAGAACGCATAAATAGCATCCTTGAGGACTTTACGTCCGAAAAGGGGAATTTGGCACGGGTGTACACGAACCAAGCGGTAGATGTTGGGTTTTATTAGTCAATCATGGCATAACTTACTAACATTGTTGTGATGTATTACTAGGGAGTTGTGGAGTGTATTTCACTCCAGTCGAGTCATATGCGGACTATGTTCGAGAGCTTTCCAGAAGTCCTATTGATCGATGCAACGCATGACACGAATAGCTCAAACTACAAGCTATTCAGCTGTATGATCCACGACGCTCTTGGCAAGGGTCAACATGTACAGGTTGGTGTTCGGTGCAAATTCTAGTTTGTGCAACAATTTGTAACCAGTTTGAAACTGTGTACGTTTCTGTGACTGTACAGCATTGTCTCGTTAAAAACGAGAAAAAAGAAACCTTGCGCACTGCGTGTGAGCAGTTTAAAGAAGGATGCCCCTCTTTTGATTCTGTCGCCGTCATTAT